TAAAGGTGGATTGTGTAACTTTTCTGGTGGAGGATCCGTCAAGTGCTTTTCTCCATAGAAATGTTATTGCTTCATCTGGAATGTTTCACAGTATGGCAATAAACCTTTCTATCTTCATGGAGACCAAACCAGACCTAGTAACAGGTCAGATCTGTGGAGAGGCAACCCCGCTCACAGCCAGAATGCCTGTTTTTGTAGGTATTTTTGAGCTATAAAACCACTGTAATTTAATAAATGTGATGTAGAACTGGGGAACATTTCAGGCAGAGCAGTAGGGATGTGCAAAAATATTGAAATATCAATATATATTGTATTGTTTAATTTGATGATACGTATCAGCAGCTTCTTAATGATAAGCAGCCCTGCAGAGCAGTGACATATCCATACAAACAAGCAGGTGATGGACCCACAGCCAGAAAAGTTACAGAGTGCACCTTTAAAGCATCTAATGTGTGGGTCTGAAATACACTAAAAATATAAAAATGTTCTAGAGCCTACAGATCTAGACCTGTCACAGTAACACATTTTGAGGCATGATATATTGCAACAGAGAAATATTGCAATAAATGATAGTATTGAAACTATTTTATGCCACTGATTAAGATTTAAATAAAGCAATATAATCCAAGTAAACACATTTTTAAATTGACAATATCATTAAAAGGCTTGAACTGCAACAAATAAATAGCAGAATGAATCAATAATCATCAATAGAAGTTATTTTTTCAGTCCTCTATATATTTTGTTCCAGCTTTGAACGATAAAACGATACAGTGATTATTGTGATAGGCCTATCTAGAACACAGTTTATTGTGATTCATGTAGTTACTATTTTTTAAATATGCCATTAAAAGCAACTCGGTCTGTCACCAAACTAAGTCACAAATTTTCAAGTAGAGTATATTGCTATATAATAGTCGACAATAATATTCAAACTACTTTATGCCACTGACACAATAACCTTAAAGCAGAATGAGTCCTCCTAAAAATATTCTAAATTTACAATATTGTTAAAATTAAATGAGAAAATGAGCTGCTAAAAAGATTGCTTTGTATCTATAATGAGCCATAGCTATTAATTCACCCCTCTACAGCTCAAATATGATTCTTGTACAGAAAAATACCAAATAGTTCCAAACTAGTACAAAAGTCACCTATTGAATGGTTAATTTAGTAATTACTGTGACAGAACTAGAAGCAACTAATGCCACCTAACACTCCTGGGAGTTTATTTTTATTTTATTTATTTGATTATTTATTTAAAGTATAAAAAGATATTAACAGTTTCACAGCATCAAACATACAAGAAATGAATTAAAATGAGCAAAAAGAAGAATAATCTTATGTTATCTGCCCCCTTTTCCCTTTTCCAGACAATACATCAAAACTGATCACTTTAAAACATTTCAGATCAGTACATTTCAGTTCAGTCACAATAAATATCATCAATTGCAAGTTTATACTTCTCTGTGATTGGTCAACGAACACATATTGTGCTTGTGTCTGCTCTACAGTTATAAACAATTACACCCGATCATTAATATGTTATAATTTGAACATTTTAAATCACAATATTCTAAAACACAAACTTAATAAGAGAATCAAGAATGTTGACTTCTGCGTTAGAAAACTGCGGTGTCCGGTGGGAGCTGATATCTCTGTAAATGTCATCACAACAAAGCGCCGTGAAGTTGTCAGCACCTTCTATAGATAGCTACACGTCACACTAGCAAGTAGAGCATATCACCGATTAAATCTGTCTATCTATCTGTCTGTTACTCATTAAAAATGAAGAGTGGATGGGGATACAGAAAAGATCTCAATCAAAAGATATCACAAAAAAGTATGTCGTCACAAGAACAGATCATGATTCAATTTCACTGTATCACCCAATATGATACAATTGTTATAAGTAATTATGTAACTGCAAAAACTCCATACTATTGTAACATAATATCATTTAACTCTAAAGACCACTGGCCACATTAACTGAGTTTAATTTACACTGAGGGCTATTTTGAGTTTTTTATTGAAATTATTTTTGACTTACCATTGTAAAGCATGTCATTGAGCACGAGCAGATTACTTAATTTATTTTCTAAAGTCGAGGTAAATCCTACAAAGACATTAACACTGTTATTTACCCCCTCAGGCCCAGTTGACACTAACAGAGCAAACTGATTGGATGCGGAGGGGTGTATCTTTTGAAGGAGGCAGCCACAGTTCAGATGTAAACAGGGAAATCACTGAGACCTCCAGCAGGGAGCACAGGCACAGCTCCTGCATGCACAATCACCAGGGCCATTTAGATACACAGAGGCCCTCTCCTCTCCACAAATACGACTAAAACACCAAAGACTATGTTAAGTGTATAACATCTATGAACAAGAAATTCTCCGCTACCTAATTAGATTTTTTGAAGGGTGTTTTTTTTTTTCATAATCATACCAAGGCAAGTAGTAATAAGAGGTAGAATTGTACATTTAATTTTGTGACATGGTTACAAAATAAAAATGGTGTTTGTTTATTTGTTGCCAAGCACATCACATCACCTGTCTTCTCTCTATGCATGCAATAGACCTAAGGAAGTAACTAATCCCTCTGTAAGTATACGCTAAGTATTTTTATGGTGGTGTGTTTTCTTCAGCCAGAAAATAAACATGCAATGCATTTCCACCAGCTGCAGGGTTCCAGTAAGTGCTTACCAAATGTCAAGACCAATTTTCCTGTAAATATCCATGCCAGACACAATCAATCAATAGATAAAAAAACTGAAGTGAGTCAGAATAAGAACTACCAAAGATCTGAATGTGTTACAAGTTGCCCAATTTAGACCAAAAGTCAGTGGGACAGACTCAGGTGGGCTTCTTGTGACCCCCCGCTGTCAACAATTAGCAAGTTTAGTGATGAGGACACTACAACTACTGAGCTGTTTACAAGCGGGCGTTGGTCTGATTGTTTTTTGCCAATCCACAAACATTAACAAGTAAACAGTAAACAGGGTATACCATTGTTTTGTTGTCAAGGAAATATTGACCAAAAATCATACTTTTAATTCCTGTGACCCAGTATATCTTAATCACAAATTGTCAAACTAGAATAAACTGTCACATGCACATTTTTGCCTAATGTCATCATTTGAAAGCAGGGCTCTAGTATTGAAGCAATGAAAAAAGACCAGCTTCATAAATCCATATATATGTTCAGTGATGCTGTTTGCTGCGTGCTGGGCTGTGGGAAGAGGGCCAGATCCGGATGACTGGCTCAATCCCAAGAAAAGTGACATTTACATTTCCATTTGTGCTCATGAGCCCCTGAATCACGGCTGCTTTTATGACTGAGAGAACAAAGCCATTTCCAACATAGCTTATTACGGCGTGTCACATAAAAAAGAGGATTTGGAGGATGTACTAACTGTATTCTCTCAAATGTTCTTCGAGCTCGGCACTTGGTGTCCTTTGTCTACAGCTGCAAGGTCAAGTTAGTCTTGTGAAGTCACCTGTTGAAGCAGCCTTTGGTTTTAAATGAGATTAGGGAACAATAGAGAGCTGTTTCTTGACTAAACCTTGGGATATTTATAAACCCTAAATGTTAAATATGAGCTTCAGGCAAAAAGCTCTAAACTCCACCCAAACCATAATTTAAACTAAACAGCTTACATTATTGACTAAATAAATTCTTTGCTGTAATTATTAGAATGAAAGCTATGGAAGTTATGCAGGCCTATGTCTAGACCTGTCAGACGACATGCCACTCACACAATAACCCAAGAGCAGGTTTAAACCACAAAAATCATTCCAAATGTATAATAATGCAATTGTTACAATACATAATTAGCAAAAATAATTGTTCCAGCTTTCATATACTGAATGATATAGTAGCCTATTTATTGGGCAGGCCAACCTAGATCTACTTCAATGTTAGTGTCATTACGGTATACAAGTATACAGACAGTACATCAATTAGTAGCCTTTTACACACTGGAATTGTTCATACATTGATTGAAAATTGTGCAATAAAAGATGCTGGACTAACAAAAGATGGGCAAATTGTTGTTGTTTTTTGCTGTTTTGTTTTTGTTTTGTTTTTTTGTTTTTAAAGCTGCAGGCCCCAGTCCCAACACTCTGAGTTTGTGAGAGAGTTGTAAAAGCCGGTGCCGCAAATCAGCAGCCTCATTTCCGTCAGTGAATCCCAGGGCAGCTGTGGCTACCAATGTGGAGAGCAAATGATGCTACTGTCGCACAGTATAAATTCAAGCCATTATGATGATTATTTTAACAAAGTTTGGAATTCAAGTTCAACAGTGCCTAAAATGTAACTGCAGTATCGGATTTTGCTCAAGCCAAAGACCACTTATAATAGTATATTGTTTAATGTACATCAGCCAATGAGAATGTGATAATTTAGTCACACAAAACAGGCTACTCCTCTACTTATTTTTGTATGACTGCTTTTATTTCACAAATACAGTTTTAGCTTTTTCACTAAATCAGCCATTTTCTTCAGTTTCACAAACAGTAGCTATCTATAGAGAAAAGCAGCAGTTCCTTCAATGGCCTATTTCTGTTTAATTATACATTCCCTTCTCGTGAATCACATTAGCTAATGCATGCAGAATAGTCGTAGATGCTTATTATTTATAGGCCTATTTTCTTCTTTTCTGTGTATCCCACGCGGTAACCATGGCAAACTATGACACAAGTCTTTACCCAACGCGTCGTGCACAAAGCCCCGCGCCGTGAACCCTCATCAGATCCAACTGTAGATCCAAGATGAGGTTTAAACAAACATTTTAGTTTAATTTTACTGTTAAACACAAAAAAATAATTGAATAAAAAAAAATAAAATAAAAAAACTTCTGGTCAGTGAGTGGCGTCTTAGCACGTTTATGTTGGCTACTGCGCGTAAGATTGGGCAGCACAGATGTCGATAATTCAAAGTCAAAGCCTGAGCGCCTGTAGCTGTAAAGACACACTGAAACCAGCGTGTGCGTGACTTACATGGAGGTGATGTTCTGAAAGAGCTCCTCGATGCCCCCGCTGCTGTTGGAGCTGTGGCCCTGAAAGGACAGCAGCGGGAAGAACTTGCTGTTGTCCGACTTGTTGCAGAATATGTCGGTGGACGAGCAGCTGCAGGTAGGCGGGCAGTCCAACACAGAGCCCAGGTAACGCTGCAGCAACAAGCTCAGCACCAGCAGCAGCCTCGGCCACCGCCACGTCCCGTCCAGGGCGCTCCACACCGCCCCGAAGCCCCCCATAGCGTGTCCCGAGACAATCCCACTCCACACTCAGTAACTGTCCCCTAAGAAGCCCCGCGTCCGCGTGCGTAATGTCCAGAGCGTGGTCACTGCCCCTGTGTCCGTGTTCAAGTGTCTTCTAGGCTACATGTCCAAATCCGCGTGGTAGCACCGGTGCGCGTGCGTGTGAGGTGTGAAATGCGTGCCTACGTGAGGTTAGATTTAATGATGCCACTTCCTCAGCCTCCTGCAGCAAAACAGCGGCGTGACACATCCACGTTGCGTGTCAAATCCACGCAGCCCTCTGCAGGTGCACGCGGTCTCCTCTCCTCTTCAGTGAGTGTCTTATGTCACCCATCCATCCCTATACGTCTCTGCTCCTCCGCTGCCTCTCTCTCCTCCAATGTGAGAAGTAGACTCCAAAGCATTTCCACCTAGCGGCCACATTGTGCACTGACTGACACACGTTAGGGGCACGTTATAAACAGGCTATTCATTTCTCAATACTGTTTTGAAGTTTTCCTTTTATACACTCACAGACCTACGTTAAGTGGCCTATCCTATTTGTGAAACCGTTGGAAGTAATTATTTTGCAGTAGGCTATATTTTGATGTTTGTTTATTAGAATTAGTAATAGATTAGAATACAATTTCAGCCAATTTCCCCAAATAGTAAAAAGATTGATTCATGTGTTTTGAAGCAGGACTCTATATTTTTTTGGCCCCGCCCAGTCATGTGACATATTTTTGCGAGCAACCACGACTTTAATGTACCTTTGACCGTAATACATTATGGATGAATCATTGATTCCTAATGGAGAGTTAATGTAGTGTGTGTGATCAGGCTGTGGTTTCATGATGGATGGCTCCTGATATGATTCTCTTTTCACTATTTCTTTGTTCTGATAATCCAGTCCAATTGTCACTGACTGACTGTGATGATGCTTTTAAAACTAAGTTGTACAAAACTGGTTGATCAATTTCAAATTTGAAATATTAAATTAAGGTTTTAATCACATTTTCATCAAGGTCATTAACTAAAAAATCCAGGACCTATTACAAAAGCAAACCATTTTGTGGTTAATTGCTAGGCCTATGTATTTTAGACACATCACAAATGCAAATAAAACCCAGTGTGTTACATTCTAATTGTTTTTATATCATATTTTAACAAGTTGGCAACTCAAATTGTTAAGTAAAAATAACATTACTACTCAAGTAGCAATAAAACTCATGTAAGCGGCCTAGGTAAAAAAAAAAAAAAAAAGTAGAAAAAGTAGAAAAAGTAGAAAAAGTACAAAGAACTGACCTGTGTGTGTCCAGGCTTTTTTTCACTAGTGTAGTATTGTTGCCCAAAGGAGGCACCCGGACCAGCCCAAGTCTTCAAGGTCTTATGTTCCATACAAAGGATTTCAGAAAAATTACAGAGAATTTAACATTTGATTCTCATCATTTTTGTAAATAAATAATTACAAATGTTTGAGGCCTTTTTATGAAAAAGTACAATTAAACTAACGCATTCAGTTTGAATGAGAGGGAGGCACCTGGGCTGCCTGATGCCATATGCCCCGCCCCAGCCACACCCATGAGCTCATCTGTCTTCAGTTACACTGAGCCCCATCTCCAGCTGATGTTTTGTTTTGCCATAAAGACCATAAACCTACTGTGAGTATCCATTTAATCTGTTGCTCTTGTGGCATTGAGTTTAAATTGTATTGATTATGTGAGATGAGACAGAGGAATAAAACAGCTTTATGCTTCATGTTTGTTGCACTGTTTCAGCACTAACTACAGAAGGACAAACTGTACATGCACATACCACAAGAACTGTTTTTCTTGTGGCCAAATATGCATGATGGAGTACTATGCTGTATATTCCTCTGATATTAAAAACTGTTACTTTATTTATTACCATCTAATCAAGCTGTACTGGAATCAAAAATGTATACATATATATATTAATTGGTTCACTGCATCATATATTTATTTGACTAAATAATTTTTTTTTAACAAATAATTATAAATAATAATAAAAACAATATTTTAAGGCAAAACATTGGACTAAAAATTGGTTGTCAAAACGAACAGTGCCCCAGTGACGGTAGAGTTGTAACAGACTTGTATTTATTGTGTTGTGTGTGATCCCAGTGGACATGTCACACATGTGAACAGCAACACAGTGATTCAGTTAAAGTGCTGCTCTCACGGCTTCGTAGTGCAGACCTGGTTACCATGACAACAGAAGGTGTTACCTGAGAATCCCCTTCATCACCATGACGGACCGCTGCAGGGGCGTGGCTGACAGCTCACCGTGCCTTCAGTTTTTTCTCTGACAGCAACAACCAAATGACAAGTACATGAAGCGAGAGAAAGAATATAACATTACAATAGTGTCAAAGACAAACACAGGATCAAAGCAGACTCTTCAAATCAAATATAACTGCACATATGATATTGAAGAACAAAAAAGGCACTTACTTCTTGCAAAAAAGCAAAAATCACAACTATAAGTGTAACCATGATAATTTAAAGTTGTAATGTGTAGCTTTCCTGGTGGAGGGTCTGCCATCTGCTCATCTCATGGTGCTTTGCCTGGGATGTCCATAGTATGGCATTAAACAAATATATCTTGTATTTATTCAATTACAGGTGCTTTTATTTATCAAAGCTACTGCAAAGCATTCTTACTGTGAGCAGGCCCACTTCTCCACAGATCTGACCAGTAACTTGGCCTGCTCCATTTAAATGTTAATGTTAAAAATTATAATTTAAATGCTGTACTGTAGAACATTCCAGGAAAAAACAATAACATCTACATGGAGTCAAGCAGGTGGCAGACCCTCCACCAGAAAAGCTACATAGTGCACCTTTAACTTGAACAATTATTTTTATGTGTTAAAGGAGTAAGGCGAGGATCTGCCACCTGCTTGTCTCCATGGAAATGTTATTGCTTTGTCTAGAATGTTCCACAGCATACATTGACTATATCTTTCAAGAGGGAGAAAAGGAGGTCACAGCACTACACTACCTTACAGTTCAGATCTGTGGAGAGTCACCTCTATTCACAGAAGGGATTATTGTATTTTAGAAACACCTGTAATGAATAAATGCTAGATGGATATGTTTAATGCCATATCATGGAGCATTCCAAGCAAAGCAATATTTTTTTTCTGGAGACAAACAGGTAACAGAAAAGTTGTGCAGTGCACCTTTAAGTACATTATTGCAACATAATATGTGTTTTATCCTTAAAACGGTTATGATTAACATTGATTTTAAGTCCTTCTACACAGCGGCTGCTGAAGTGGAGCAATGTTTTGCTGGACACATTTATTTTGCAGGTTAGAGACAGGCGCTGTGGTCTTCATTAATGGACATCATGTTTTATTGATGGTGCCAACAGGCCTGTGGTTTGGGTTGGGACAGATATTGGCTCACTAATGTAACCAGGCAAAGATGTGGGTACACAGAGGCCTATTACACCATTACAATCCCAGTAAAATATCTCTCAGACTACAACAGTTTGTACTGGTGACCCTGGTGTTCTACATTGTACGATGTTTAAGAAATACTGCTATAAATAATGTTTCAGATACATGTTGGAGCCAAATTGTTTATGAAATGTATTTGAACAAAACAATCGAATATGAGGAAACGCTACCTTGAACTTTGCAAAAATATATATGTCGTATTCTTACTTTGAATTTAACTTTTATTTCAAATGTGATTCCTCAAGTAAAGTGAAGATGTACTTACTCTGTCCAAATGTAACGCAAAACACATTTTCAGTTACAGAGGAGCTCATTCTCCAAAAAGCTTCTGCACCCCAGCTCAAACAGTGAGAGATACAGGTCTACATTCATACTATAATACTCCCTACAACTGCACAACTCCTCACCCTTTTGTAATAGATAGATGGCCTCTTGTATATAGCTGAGTTATATTTTGTATTACTATATTTCTATATTTTATTTGTACACATACATTTGTATAATTATGCCTTATTTGACACCAGTCTGTTGCTATTTTTATTTAGAATTTATTATAACAATTTATATTGTTGCTCTTTGTTATAATATTGTAATGTGTGAGCTGTGTCTAAATAATTTCCCTTGTGGATCAATAAAGTTTGGTCTATAATTCACTATCCCACATTAAACTAAACATGAGATAAATTTGTCCATTGTAACATATCAAATCTAACCTCAAAAACCATAAGTGAACATCCGTGTGGTGTCAGTCCATTTCCCCCTAACAGAGCTGTAAAACATGCGCTTCCTGCCTGGTCCCGTTCTCCGCTCAGCCCTGAGGGTCCAGGGTCCGCTCCTCACTGTGGCCTGAGCAAAAGAGCTAAAGACATCAGAGGCCACACACACAGGCCAAACCATCACAGGCTTTATGTGGTTATCAGGGCCCACGAGCACTCAGGGCTTTTATGGACCACACCACACTGTGTTTGTGAGAGCAAGGAACAGACACAAGAACACGTGAGCCTGTTTTAAACAAAAACAAAAATACATGTTGATATAAAAGTAAAAAAAAATATAAAACATAACTAAAAAAAGACAAAGACACAGTTGGTTTGTGGTAGTTGCTGACATGAAATAGACATAGTGATAACAAAATATACAGTAAAAATGGTCATTGTTAATTGTCAAACACTATTTTTATTTGTGCTTTTTGCTGCAAAATAAAGTGCACGTTTTGTCACAAAAGAAAAAAAAAGTTGTTTTTTTGTTGTTGTGCTTTGTAAATAAAGCTGAACATCAACATGTGAAGAATGTACTGTAAAATTTTAATTTGATCAATGATAATATATATATATATAATATATATATATATATATATATATATATATAATAAGAATATAGTGTGTATATAACAATATATGTAATCTATATAATGTAGGTCTGTCAAAGGACCTTTGTTACACAGGCCTGGTCAGTGATGCAATTATTTAGTATAGTTCCAAACCTCACTGAAGCATGAATGTCTATTAATGTAATCAGGTTTATGGTGGGA